AAAAAAAAAAAACCTAAGACCTCAAGGAGAGTTGTAAGCATTGCAACCACCACACCACTACAAGTCGAGAGTTAGATTTAATAACTTTCAATATATATAGATATTGCATATGGATTAATCAAATTAAAATTAAAAGATAATGTATTGTAAATTTGTAATAAAATAAATTAATAAAATAAAATCTTACAATAAACTAAAATTCTATAAACTAAATTATATAATTGAATTGTACCAAAAAAAAACTATATAATTGAATGAAAATAAAATGATTAAAATAACTTATAAATAACTTATAAATAATTATAAACAAAATACATCTAAAATAATAGTATGTTTTGGATTTATTTTATATTACTTTTATCTATTTTTATTATTTGTTATATATTTGAATTGCATTGTTGCGTATTATCTGTAGTATTATTCATTTTATTTCATTCTATTTTATCTTAGTTAAATTTATTTTCTTTTTAAATTTAAGACAATGAAATAAAATTAAAATAAATTTATCAAAAAATTTTGGAAATTGATTATATGAATTATGTAGTTATGGAAATAAATAACAGTAATAGCAATAACAATAATAAAATTAGTAATAATAACTATAGTTTACTTATATGTAATAATATAAATTGGGAAATGAATGATGATAATAATAATAACAAAAATTAAAAGTAAATAAAAATGAACTAAACTAATTAAAATAAAATAAAAAATAATATATGTAACATAATTAAATATAAATAGTAAAGTAAAATAAAATAACACATCCAATAAATTATAATGAAATAACACATTAAAGTAAGTAAGAAGATAAAATTAATATTATAATACTTACAATAATTTTAATATGATTTACTCTTACATACAACATGAGTTAAGAAAATTAGAAATAAATTAACAATTTTCTCAAATTAAAAATTTAAATAAATAGTTTTACTTTATAAATTTTATTTTGTAATTTATTTTAATTTTTCCTTGTCTTAAGTTAACAAAATAAACAAAATTTGTTAAATAAAATAAAATAATATGGAATAATATAAGTTAAATAAATAATATAAATAAAGATAGGTTAAATTAATATCATATAAATGCAATAAATATAACAATTATATATCATTATTTTAAGCCAGTACCTCAATTTGGTTTGAATTAACATGCATTCTCCAAAATGTCGTGACCTTGTGCTTGGTTGAAAGTTTGAATAATGGTCTTGCTGAGAGCTCTTGCGATACATAGGGTGTGTTTGGTAAACCTAGCTGATAAGCTAGCTGATAGCTTATAAGCTAGCTGGTAGCTGATAAGCTATAAGCTAGCTTATAGCTTATGATTTATAGCTGAAAAGCTAGCTTATATGATAAAAGTGTTTGGTAAAACTAGCTTATAAGCTAGCTGAAATAAAAAAGTCAACTAGATTATTTTGAAACGCTACCTAAACAAGCTTATCAAATAAGCTCGAGCTTTTTAAATAAGCTCGTCCTACCAAACGGGGCTTATTTGATACAGAAAGCTTATAAGCTAACCAAATAAGCTATAAGCTAGCTTATTATACGTGTCAAACACACCCATAATGTATGATGAAAAGTGTAGGATTTCGTACTGGATACTTCTTTCTGAAAAGGATTTTGCATTAATTCCAACTAGTACAACACCCGTGTATTACACGGTGTTTGTTAAAAAATTATTCTTAAATTTTAAAATTAATGAGAAAACTATATTAAATTTAGTTTACTTTTTACAAAAAAAAAAAAAAAAAAAAAAAAAAAAAAAATTATTACTATATATATTTTAGAATGATATGTGTTATTTATGACTTACATGTGGTATGAGTAATGCTCCCCTACCCACAGTGGGCACATATTAATATGTCCACCGCTTATGTGGCATGCATACATTGGTAATATTAAAAAAATACATTACCAATGTGTGCATGCCACATAAGCGGTGGGCATATTAATATGTGCCCACTGTGGGTAGGGGAGCATCATCCGTGTTATATTATATTAGTTTTTATAACTTATATCATATAACTGCTTGAAATATAAATATATTAGTTGATAAATAATTTTATTTTTCTAATTAATATTAAAAAAAATTATTATTGTTATAAATATAAATATAAATTATTTTTTTATACATACAATATGGATGTTAAATCGAAGCTCATCAAAAGAAGATTAATTTGATATACTACATATGTAAAACTGAAAAAAAATACAAAAGTTATTAACTTTTAAAATATATATGCAATTCAATAGTTATAATAAAGAATGATATTAAAATGCAATTAATACATGTAACATGACCATAAATAATCAACATATTTATAGTAATCCGAACCTAATTATTTTTAGTTTGGAATTAAATTAAAATTTATCCAAACAAGCATGTAATTTTGCCACATAGGATTCCGAAACACCAGAAGCAGTCACGTAGGCTCAACGCGTTCTGAATTAATATATATGGATGGCATTGAGATCGGCACAAGCGCCTGCTATTTACCAACTTCAGCTCAATATACACAAGTGCAGTCACGTAGGCTCAACGCGTTCTGGGACTCGTTGCCACCGCATTGGGCATGTTGCTCATATCCTTTGACGTAAATACATTCGGAGTTAAACTTTAATATTTGTTACAATGCAACTTTAACGCTAATCTATTGTGTGGCGAAAACTAACAATTGTTTTTAAATTATATATTATTTGAATTTCAATATTGCACGACTTTTATCTTTTAATTGTATTGTACGTAAAATAAAATTTTGGCATTAAGTTGGATTTAATTCTACTTTTAATGTCTCACGAGTCAGTTTTTTACATTACAAGAATAAATAGTAGCAAGAGAATTATAATCTCTATTTACAATGTCTTATAAGTCAATTTTTTTATTTTTTTATTTTTTTTTCACGTTAGAAAGAACAAATAGCAGCAAGAGTTTTATAATAGTAAAATCGATATTCATTCAGCAACATACTTTTGCAACATAGCATATGATTTAATTATATATTAATTACGTACTTAATTTAATAAAAATTGGGTCGGCTGCGCTGTGCACAGCCGAAAACAAACTAGTATATACATATACATATACATATATATTTCTTTTGCTAGTCAGTCGCGGTATCCGGAGCTTTGTTCCTACTGATCCGTTGGTCGACCCAAATCACACATCTGACAATGATGGGTGAGTTTCTCAATAAAAGTTTTCTCCCTTCAGCTTGAACCTGAGACCTTGCTTAAGTCACATCATATTAAATTATTTTATTATTGTTGTTTATGTTGCACTCCATTACATTATTATATTAATGTTGCACTCCATTAGATTAATCTTTTACAAAACCATAGAGAATTATACTATTTTCTTTTTCTATTATCTTGATGATATAATTATGAGTAAAGTGAATTAAATGGAAAAATAAGTTATTTTAAACTTTAAAAGAACATTGAAAATGTTATTTTAAAAATTAAAATCAAATCTATTTTTTAACACTCGAACTAATAAAAAGAGACAATATATGCTTCATAATAGAATAAGAAAAAACTCCCAACACGCCCATGGAAAACTATACTTTTATAAGTCAAAAGTATCGATAGGGAAATAATTTCCAGATTTTTTCTTATCTTGTTTTCGACAAGAAAATTGAAAATAATTGCCTGTTTTTTGACAACAAAGTAAAAGATTGTCAAAATTCAAATAATTAATTTTTTACCTAATTGATCTTCCACATGGAATTTATAAGAAATTAAAGATCTTGAATTCATATTCAAAGAAGAGAAAATAAATGTCCATATGTCATCATTAGTTCACCTTTACAATATGGCAAATTTGGGTGATCATGAATACTTTATGGTTTCATCTCATCATCTCATGTTTGATTTTGCTTGATCAATGACACTATACATATATAACACTTTGTCAAAAATAAAAATAAAAAAAATGACATGATATATAGAATATAAAAACACAAGAGGCTACAGTTTCGTTACAGAACCATTTCGTCAGAGTTCGTAACAGTTATATCAACTATCTCTGACGGTTACATGATCTAACGATTATAAACTTCGACGGATCTCATAAATTGCGCACAAGTAAAAACTATTAGTTCGTAATTTGTATGCATAACTATGCCCAAATTCAAACATAAATGACTAATGACTTCTAAATCCTTCAGCAAACATCGGGCCCCAACCCAATATTTTTGTTCCCCAGGTCGATGGTGATCCGAGTCCCTTGTTGCTGAATGTTGCCAATTATGGTAAGGCTCGAATCCGATGGTGTTGGGGCGAACGCAAGGCAATTAAGGCTTTGCTCCACCTCGAACATTGGCCACTTGCTCGTAATGCTCGGGCTCGGATCGTTCGACAGGTACAACGATACGGTCGGTGTCGTATCTGATCCGCTCAGATGATAGCATGTGTCGAAGAACGAGTAATTCAAAGGTGCCGCGCCCCCCATCTTCTCCCGGAATTTGTCTCTTAGCGCCACGTAGGCGCCCTCCGGAAGCCTCGTGATTGTTGTCCCCGTGTCGATCATCGCCCCTCCGTCGCCCCCGTCCAATATCTGGAATGTGTCCGCGGTCACTCCCGGCACCCGTTCCCCGTTGACACCGATGCCTGTGAGCGTGACGTAGTAAAATGATGGAATCTTTGGGTTGGTGACAAGCGGGACCCACGCGGCCGCAGCGGAGGGATAATCAGACCGACCGAACTCGAGCCACCCACCGCCATTAGTTCCGCCACTGCTGCTTAGGCAGTAGCTGAACATATGACCGACGACCTCGGCCGACTGGCTCATCAGAGAAACGGACCCCATGCTGAGGCCGAGGATCCCGTCAACCCCGCTCGTCGTGAGACTGTTTGACATGCCGCATCCGACGATTGCATTGTTGATCTCCATGTCGCCGATCGTGAGGGTCTCGAGGGATAGGACTCCTCTTGAGTAGGACCCGTCCGCGTACGAGTATTTGAACGTGCAGGCACGGACGATGGCATCGCAGCCCTGGGGGCTCCAATCGAGTAGGTTGCAGTAGTGGGCGTCTGGATCGCTCGAGTCCACACAGGGGACTGTGTGGAACGAGCTAGACCCGGTCGGGTCAAACATCGGGTCGGGCTGACTGAAACAGTTGTTGCATGGCTGGCACTGCAGCCACAGGAGATCGCTAGCTGTGTCCAATACCAGGGTTTGTTTCACGGGCGGGGTACCGATGCCGATTGTCACGGCTACCTCACCTCGGAGAAGCCCTAACTCGGTCTTAGGGTCGTCCGAGAGTTGGTTGACCAAGGTGGCCGTGCGGATGGCATCTCTTCTCATCTGGGCTTCCGAGCTGGACAAACTGCCCAGGTTGACCAACGGAAGCCTCGTGCTCAAGGGAAGGGTGGTCGAGACTGTTTTCGTTGGGCGGGCGATGGTGGTGGTGTAAAGGAGGAGGAGAAATGCTAGAGATGCAACAAGAATAGTCATGGCTAGCTCAATTAATGCTAGTGAGAACTTGAAAGTTCTTGCAAGGGGTGGAAATTAATGTGAGGTTTTTGGGTGGGAGATTTATGCATGTTTGTGTGTGGTTAGGGCCATGGGACGTGAGCATTGAATAGTGAAAGTATATATAGCTAATTATCCTATATATGGAGACTTGGCAATTGATTTATAACACGTTTTTATTTTTGTTATTGAATTGTACTTGTGTTGATATCTGAACTGGATAACATATTTCTTATGCGACATACGTGTCCCTTTATGAAAAGATCGATTCAACCAGATCGAGAGATATTCGTAAACCAACTCGGCTCGTGACGGGAGATCGACATATAGCGAAGGCCACATGCCGGGTAGTACAATCACAAGACAGAACTCACCCGATACAATGACGATTGGATTTAAAATCTAGCTGTATCAGCTCTTTTCATCACCCGGATAAAAAGAACAAAACAGTATAAATGTTAATATTATTTTTTTCTAACACATAAATTTTCGTGCATCTCAAGTTTCTCCATATATCTATGGCCAAATGTGAACTGATAAAGATTCTTCTCTCGAGAGTGGATGAAAATGTGTTTTTTTCCCTACAGAGGACTGAAAAAATATTTTTTTGTAAAATGTGTTTTTGCCGCTCTTGTGATCCTACCCGATTCGATTCCGGATTAGTCGGTGCCCCTATGAATCCGAAACCGGAAGGTCCTTGTACCAAAAAAAAAAAAAAAAATTATAAAAGCCCTTTTATCACGCGAAGACAAAAGGGTTAGTAAAAAATATTATAACTGTACTTTTTTTTTGCCCTAAACCAAACTACATGCGAAACTTGTTCTTTAATAAGTCAAAAAGGATCGATAGTATATAATTGTAAGTTGTGGCACACCTAGGACTGCAAATAAGTCGAGTCGAGTCGAACACAGGCCTTATCGAATAGGATCGATTTTTCTTTTAGCTGCTCGAGCTAGTCAAGCTCGATTTTTTAGACTCGAGCTCGACTCGAAATCAAAATGCTCGATCTAGGCTCGAAAATTTTTAAGTGGAAAGGTAAAATTACCATTAAGGACTTATGGTAACATATTTTAGTAATTTAACATGTATTTCGAGTCGCTCGGTTCGTTTGCAGCTCTAGACACACCACATACACAATGCCATAAAAAGGTTAAGGGGAAAGCTGACATAAACAATTGAATTTTTTACTTGAAATTGTGTATATAGATTGAAATATATTGCGACCATTTTTTTTTTACCATACATATCATTAGGATGGTTGTCAATATTGAATCATTATTCTCATGTGTTATTAAATTTCCAATAATTTATTCTTACATTGAACTACCCAAAAACTGAAATATTGATCATTTAATTCATAGTTTTTTCAATTATGACTTAATTTAAATAAGAAGTAATATTAACTGATAAATTTAATTAAACGAAAACTCAATTGTGTATCGAGTCTCCCTTTGGAGCTGCATTTCTCGTAAGGCCCAATAGAAAGTTGGGTCACACTTCAATATCAATCAAAACTATGAGCCCAAATCTGTCTTGGCCGTCAAATTCAGCCCATTTTACCTCTAGGGTTTAGCGTATTTTTGTGTCTCAAAACTCTCACGCAGTTTTTTTCTGGTTATCCCCAGGCCATTTGTGGAATTCTCTGAGAACCGATTCGAGCAAGGAGCAATGGTGAGAAAATTTTGCTTCCCATTTAGCTTTGTTTATTTCTCTGTCGTTTGCTGTTAATTATTGAGATGCAGTGTTGTTGAATCACTGCATGTTAGTGGGTTTTTTCATATGATCGAGCTACTGGTTTAGTTTCATCCCTGCATTTGGTCGTGTTTTATTCTATGTTCTTGTAGATTTAAGCTGTGATAAATCTTGGTTGTCGGGTTCGTGGAAGCTCGATTTCATAATGTTTTACTGAAGTACCTTAGATCTGTTTGTAGTCGAAAATAGATTGGCTTTTTATAACTGTTGTTCCCTCTTGAAAGATCTGGACATTTGAAAAATTTATGGCTTCCTTTTCACCTGCCCTTTTATTTTGTTTTGTTGGCTTAGAAAAAAAAAATGGGGGTTTTAGGATTAGTTGGATGGTCTTGAGCATGTTCATTTTTTTGCAGGATTTTGCTTTAGAAAGATTGGATTTTTTATATAGTTTTACTTGTTTATACCAATATGTGTCTATGAATGCTGTATTTACTGATGATGGGTGATTTTTTTTTTTTTTTTTTTTTTTTTTTTTTTTTTTTTTGCAGGCATTTGTCAAAGCCCAGAAGTCGAATGCCTACTTCAAGCGTTTCCAAGTCAAGTTCAAGAGAAGAAGACGTAAAACACCAGTAACTGCTTGTTTGTTTCATTTATTTAGTTATGCAGCTAAATGACTTTGATAATTTCCAATCCAGAGGGGAAGACTGACTACAGAGCGAGAATTCGTCTCATCAATCAGGACAAGAACAAGTATAACACTCCGAAATACCGATTTGTTGTGCGATTTGTATCCTTATACTCACATTATGGTGAATCAAATTAATTTATAATTTCTTCCCCCTGTTCTCCCTCGATCTCGTATACACTACCATATAGATTAGTATTGTTAATCACGGCATGTTGTATATTCTATGCTATATATATTACCTATGATGGGTTTCATGTTATTATGATACTTTCTTTGTTCTGCCTTCATCTTGAGTTAATATATATTGGGGGTACCTTAACACAAGATTTAGACAAACAAAGATATAATTGCCCAGATTGTGTCTGCTAGCATCACTGGTGATCATGTCCTTTCTGCTGCCTATGCACATGAGCTGCCCCATTACGGCCTTGAAGTTGGCCTCACCAACTATTCTGCTGGTATTGTCATTTTTTTCATTAGCTACAAATTAGAATAACCTGTTCTTTTTCAATGATATTAGAAATTGAAATATTCCCTGTGAACTAGCTTACTGCACTGGGCTACTTCTTGCTCGCCGAGTGCTGAAAAAGCTTGAGATGGATCAAGAATATGAAGGAAATGTTGAGGTAAAAACATTTTCCAGTTCATTGGTATGTGTGTTTTGGTGTGAATGCTTGTATGTTTGTTGTGATTGATGTGATGTGTACTGTACCTTGTTCAGGCCACTGGTGAGGATTACTCTGTGGAACCAGCTGAAACCAGGAGGCCCTTCCGTGCACTCCTTGATGTTGGTCTTTTGAGAACTACAACTGGGAACCGTGTCTTTGGTGCACTCAAGGTACTATTTAGGCTTCATTAGAAATTTCGGTTATATGTTTTATGCAACCACTTGATGGATACCATAAAACAACAAATTTGTTTGTATGACTACTGGACAATATTTCATTCGATTCAATTGATCTCGGTGGACTTGATATATGTTTTTTTTTCCCCATTCAGACTTCATTACAAATTTGTTTTTCCTTTCTCGAATATTATTATTGTTAATTTTTTTTTTTTTTATGCAGGGTGCTCTTGATGGTGGACTTGATATTCCTCATAGTGATAAACGTTTTGCCGGATTTAACAAGGACAACAAGCAACTCGATCCTGAAGTGCACCGCAAGTACATCTATGGTGGCCATGTTGCAGCTTACATGAACGTAAACCCCCGATTTCACCTTTTTGTCCGTTTTTACACATGGCTCGAATATGGTTTTTTGGTCCCAATCTAACTATCACACCCCTCATAAGCTGGTGTGATTGATCAACGGCCGAAAATGCCATAAAGTAATTCTGTGATTTTGAAATGGTGTAGACTTTGATGGAAGATGAGCCGGAGAAGTATCAGTCTGTGTTCAGCCAGTATATCAAGAAAGGTGTTGAAGCAGATAACATTGAGGCTTTGTACAAGAAGGTCCATGCCGCCATTCGTGCCGACCCCACAGAAAAGAAATCTAAAAAGCAGCCACCTAAGGAGCACAAGAGGTTAGATATTTTATTTTTTAAAATAAATCAAATCGATAAACATGCTTCTCTGTATTGTTGCTCCGTTTAGTTAGTTCTGTTTGTTCGTTTTTTTATTTTCACAATCACACATATTAAGAATGCACGTCATTATGTTTCTGAAATCTGGTTATTGGTACAAATTTCATTGAGAATCCCTTTAACTCCTTTACTCGAATGGGTATTGGAAATTGAATTATGTAATTGATTACCAAACCAATCAATCAAGAACAAAATGCAGTTAATTTATTTTGTATTCAAAAGTGACAGGCAATTTTTTTTTTTCTGGTAAATATTTAGACTACTGATGACAAATTCTCATGGATGCTTGTTGCACCGTTAGTTGGGAGTGAAATATTGAAATCAATTGTTCTGAAAAACAAAAAAAAAAAAGAAAAAAAAAATTAGCTTTGTTTGAACATTAGTTAATTCATTAATTGGATCATTGTTTGAGATCTGACTGCATAATAACAATAACGGTGATTGGAATGCTTTTGCAGATTCAACCTTAAGAAGTTGACATATGAGGAGAGGAAGGCCAAGTTGATCGAGAGGTTGAATGCTCTGAATGCTGCTGCAGGAAATGATGACGAGGATGAAGATGATGAGTGAGGAAATCAACGTTAGACGAACAGCTGAATTGTTCTCGATTTTGAGTTTTGTTTCGTTTTGTTTTACTGGATATTTGATTAGCCTTTTCTGTTGTGGGCTAACAAGCCAGACCTTTGTATTGATGTGGATTCAGTTTGTGTGGGATATTTAGATAATGAGATGAAATTTTTGACTCTTGAAATTCATCGAATTCTATTTATACAAGTATTTGCAGTTTGAAAAAATAAAAATAAAAATCTATCAGATCCAATAGTATATTTTCCCTTAACATTTTTTTTTTTAAAAAATAAATTTTGTATGATCCATGTTAAATATTTATATTATCAACTTCAACTCATAGTTTTATTTTTTAGAAAAAAAACATGCACGTCAAATGCTTGCTTGTTAGTCTTAAAGTTAAGGGAGATTCTACCGTTATGGAACCATTCCGTCGGGATTTAAATCGTTAGATCAACTATTCACGACGGTTACATGATGATTTAATGGTTACAAATCTCGACGGAATAACTATTACAAATCTCGACGGAATAGTTTCGTAACAGAACTGTAGCATTTCCCTGAAGTTAAAATTAATTGAAAAAAAAAAAAAAAAAAAAAAAGTGAAACCAAAAAGTCTTAAAAGTAAATATATTCTAGTCTATATAGAATAGTCATCGAGACAAGGCAAGTAATATCCCATACCTCCTCTAATCATCGAAGATTCAAGCTTCCCTTAAATTAATATGAAGCCATATTAGAAATTTTCCAACATTTGAAGCCGAGCCCACACGTGTTATTCTTTTGTTGTTAGCCATTGCAAGGAATCTAATCTCAACGCTAGCAAAGCCATATACATATCAATTGATTAATTCCATGACCATTATTTTCATTCTCATAATCCTTCCACCCTATAGTTGCAAACAAATCGAGCAGTTCACATGCGTTCAAATCAATGTTCGACTCGAGCTCGAGTTGAGCTCTAACACCTCGAATTGAAAGTCAAGTTGAGCTCGAGTATGTAGTTTGTACGCGCGAGTGTTTGACTAGTCGTTCCAATGTAAGTAATGTTCCTTTAATATCCCTAACTACAAATTTTTATTCGAATTTTGAGTCGAACTCGAGTGTTTGCATTTTTTTTTTTTTCCTATCGGAGTCCACTTGAGTCTAAAAATGTAAGGCTTTTCGAGCTCGAGCAGCAATAGAATTATTTAGCCCTTGCTCGTAAGGACATTGCTTGATTCAATTCGGCTCATTGCAACACTATTTCACATTTGTAGAGTTCATCAATTAATTTTTTTTTGGTAATTATAAGATCGAGTCGGCTATAAGATCGAGTCTGGTAATGGGTTCTTATTCGGGTATTAAAATTCTATCCGAACCCGACCCAAAAAACACGTGTTACCCTTTGGTGTCCCTAGTACACTACCCAACGACTGATTTAATTAACATCCCTAATTGACTTTTAAGCTTAGAACCTATTAAAAAAATCACCATTGCAACTATCCTTCAACTAGTCTTTGCTAGTTAAAGTGATTGGGAAAAAGGTCGCCACCAAACATTATTTACTGTCATTACATTTCCCAGCCTGACAGAATCTTAACCTTTATCCAGTTTCATCATATATTTTAACATACCGTACAATAATATAGCCCACATGTCCTTTAATTAACTCACAACATATATTTAACTTTAGCTTATACTCCATTGTAGAACATACTATCCAAAATGAAAATGTAAACATCACTTGAAAACTTTAGACCCGAAATATCCCTTCACGGATCCACCCGGCCCCATCAGCAGAGGTTCGGCCCGAACCCGACGTACCCATTGGATGCATCAAAGGAGATTTGGATGCCTTCTTGTTGAATGTTTCCGATTATGGAAAGATCCGAAGGCGACGAGGCGAACGCGAAGCAAAACGTCCCCCTCTCGTCTACTGGAATAAGAAAGTTCCGTGCCGGGAGCGTCAGTATCGGCCCTCCCGATAGGAAAAATGAGATTGTCGGCACTCTGACCGTCACGAATCCGTTCAGGTCGTAGCACGTGTCGAATATGGAAACCCCTGGAGCCCGCGGTAGGTTCGCGGTCTCGGCCACGAACGCGTCCCGGAACGCCATGTAGGCGGCGGCCGGGAGCCTCGTCACCGCCGTGCCAGTGTCCATCACAACCCCTCCGTAACCCGGCTCGGTCAGCTGGAAGGCTTCCTCGGGCACGGGCACCCGAGCCCCGCCGACCCCGAGCCCTGAGAGCCCGACGTAGTAGAAGCTCGGGGCTCGGGGATTGCGGAGCAGCGGGACCCACGCGGCCCCCGCGGGCAGCACGGATCGCCCGAACTCAAGCGATCCTCGCGAGTCGGGGTTGCCGCCCCGGCTCACGAGGCAATAGATGAAGGCCTGGCCCGCCTGGTCGCCGAGCTGACCCACGAGGGACATGGGCCCACCGCCGAGGCCCAACAGGCCCGCGGCCCCAACGAACATGCCGTGATTAGTGTGACCGCACCCGATAGCAACGTTTTGAATGGTTGTGTGGCCGACAGTAAGGGTCTCGAGGGCGAGGGTCCCTTTAGTGTATGAGCCGTCACCGTACGAGACCTCGTACCGGCATCGACCAGCGTGGCAGCCCGAGTTCTCGACCCGGCTGCAAACGGAGGATCCGCACGAGACGCCCGAGAAGGATGCGGACTCGGCCGGGTCGAAAACCGGGTCGGATTGGTGGTAGCACTGGTTGCACGGCTGGCATTGGACCCACACGATGTCGCTCCCGGAGTCAATGACCATGTACTGGCTTCGGGCCGGGCTGCCGACACCGATCCGAACAAAATACTCACCGCTGCCGAGGTCCATGCCAGAGACGACGTCCGATCCAAAATCCGAAACCGAGTAGGTGGCGCCGGGACCGTCGCCGGAGAGGCGGCGGATCAATCCGGCGACCCTTTTTTGGTCCCTTTTCATGCGGGCTTCGAGGCGGCGGCGGTGGTTGTTGTGCCACCAGAAGGAAAGGCGGTCCCGGTGGACCAACTGGAGCTTGACTGTGGAGTTGGGGAGGATGGGCGTCTCCGTCGTTTTGCTCTCTGGGTGCTCGCCGGAGGCGGCGGCGGGGCGGAGGTTGGTGGCGGCGGAGATGGATTCTTTGACGTTGAGGTGTTCGTAGGGGGGGAATGGGATGGCGTGGCCGGAGGAGGTGGCGGTGGCAGTCGCCGCCGGCGGCGGCGAGAGAAGGAATAGTGCTTGGATGGCGACAAGAATAAGCATTATTGATTGATTGATTAATGGGGATTGGCAGTGTGTGTGATGTGTGTGTGTGTGTTGGGAAGTTTAAAAGTGGTTTTGCTAATGGAGTTTTCCGCTTTTGGAGAGGCAAATGTGGGTTTCAAATGGGGACGGTGATTTATGGAGCTGAGGGTTAGACAAATAATTGAGAGGTGCCTTTTTTAATTAGGAGAATGCTACGGGATGGTTCCGTTGTGTTTTTAAGCGTTGGATTAACTACTCATCACTAGATTACATGTATATCTATGGCTAGAAAATACAACGGAACCATCCCGTAACGGGATGGTAGCATTCTCCTTTTAATTATAGTATCAAACTCAAATATGAACCCAAATCATAGTATCATTGACCAATAAATTTTAATTATATATATAATATATTATTGTGTTAATTTACATATAAGTACACAATTTGTAGTGTGTACGTAAATAAAAGGATTAGGTGTTAAAAATAATTTATAGTGTTCATTAAGTTTAGACATTCATATATTTAAAACGAATATGCATATGTTCAAACTCATATGTCTAAAATAATATAAATAAAAATATTACATATTATAGTATAAGAATATATTTTATTAAATATGTATAAGAGGGTGACCCATCTAACAATTAAGTTGTCTCATACAAGAATTCGTAGTAGCAAATATGGATACTTATACTTTTATTTAAGTTACTTTTTTGAGTGATATATTTTTAATTTAGAAGTAGTTTATCTATTTTAAATATATATATATAAATAAATTGATCTTTTGCATTTAGAGGTGGAAGGACTGCAACCAAAGTGATTCGAGGGTTCACAGGTTAAATTCACTGAGAATTTTTACTACTGTGCAATAAGGTGAATTAATTTTATGTCTCATTAAATTTACTTTTGTTGGGTGAAAATGATTGGGATCTGAAAAAAAAAATATCAAATTAGATAAATATAATTCTGCTGATGTCCATTGTTATGAGAATTTATTATAAACATTGATACTCGAGTAAATTTCAACTATAGTCTCAATATTCAATAATAGTCAGAATTGAAATTCTATTAATTAATTCTATATAGTCTTGCAACTTGAAAAATTAGTCACAATTTTAACTAGAAATGTGATTTTGGCTGTAAATTTAATAGGACGTGTGTGTGACGAGTCAATTTCCGGGTAAAATTTGGGGAATATGGTCATGTTACGGTACCACCCCATCGGATATTTTAACCGTTGGATACACATGTAGCTAGTATAAGATAAATGATCCAATAATTAAAACCCAACAGTATGATTCAGTACGAGACTATAGCATTTCCCGGTAAAATTATTCTTAAATTGGTTAGATTTGTTCAAATTATGGGGCTACTAATAAATATTGACTAGGGGTCCTTTTTGCTTTTCAAGTAAACATAAACAAATTACATAACAAAATAGAACTAACTATTGACTATTTCAGGAAAAAAATAAAGTCAATGTAAATCTAATTAGAACTAACTAAGATTTCCAATTAGCAGACAAAAGCAGTGTTGGCTGCAAGCTGCTGTGAATAAGTGTTTTACAAAATTAATAATTACTAACATTTTTTTTTTTTTTGTTTATTTATAAATTATGTACAATTTATTCTTCTAATGACATTTCATTATTAAATTTCTCGCCAAAATCACTAATATTATATTTAAACTGATCAATTTTAAGAATTAGTGATAAATATTAATTAAGTGAATTTTAACTAAATTACGTTTTGATAAAATTCCAAAATTATATATCACCGAGCCTCTCTCCGAGACAGTTCCCAGATCGTTACTCCTTTCGTGTAGGTCGAAACTTCAAAATACAGGTTAACTATGCACTTTCCGGGCGAATCCATCCAATTTGATCAACCATTAACGAGTAATTTTAATGTTGGTGAATTTGGTCATGGAGATGCAACCGATTTTTATTTTTTATTTTTTTAATTCCCCCTATTTTACCATCTTGCACTGTATAGCAACAGTTGTAAATATATATAAATACTCATATCATATTGTTCACGAAAACCATACATCTGTCCAATTAATATATGATCAACTGATAATGATTTGTTAACTAAACCCATAAATGAACATATGTTTGATTTTAATTAATTAATTAGGCCAATATGTGAAAATGACTCCTAATTACACCTAATTAATTTGAATAAAACTAAAGATTTTGACTTCAAATATTAATCAAACAGACTCAATCGAATAAGTAAAAAGATGATTGCAATATTTTTGAACTTTTGGAATATTTTTAAACTTCATATCTTTACGTTTACAACAAAAAAAATTTAGTTATTTTATTTAAATAGTAATATAATATAAACTCAAAATCTCACTAACAACTAATCATATCTCTTTTTTTAAAAATTAACTATGTTTAATAAAAATAAACTTATTTTGAGCTGATATATTTATATACAAGCACGTCCTAAGAGTAGTATAATTTGGTCCGAACACTATCCCTACATCAACCCATCTTTTAATCTTTGAATCGGGACTGAACCGCCCCGTTTTCAAAACAAACCAGATTGAGTTTGTATCTTTAATAAACGGGACAACCGGAGTTTTATGTATGATATTATAGGGGTTGGCTACGGTGCCGTGCAGGCACCATTCCGTTAATTTAATCTCAGTCGTTAGATCTTGTAAAATTGATAAGGAACTTTAGATGTGGTAAAAACCTACCAAACTAAAATGATGTGGCAAGTGTTCATTGGTTCCGCTAAAATACACAACGGCACTTAAGAATTTTCCGATATTATATGTCTAATTTTTAGTGTTTATTTATATACAATACTATAATATTATAGCTATAATAATATTGTATATATATATATCATATTTATGAGATGGTATGATTGTTAAAAATTTGAGAATACTTGGATAGAAACAAATCTAAACTAATTTAATCAACCAATCTTGACTTATTGATAATCTAAGTGACATTCTATTATATATTGTCTCGTAGTTCAAGTAACACTGTTCACATATTTGATCCAAAAAAATAAAAAAAATAATAAAAATAAAAATAAAAATAAAAAAATCGTGACAAAACCAAGTGTAGAAAGCCACGCAAATGGTAGGAAGATAATGTAGTGCGGCTTAGGAATAATAACGAACCAAACCTAGGAACAGACAAAATATTACAGCCAACTCTTTAATTACTATAATTTTTAAATTATATAACTTGCTTGTGGATTATAAACTGTGTTTTCTTATTATGTGAGCTAACTTGGCATTTTGAACACCATTGTCTTTCCATTTAATCATCTTTTTTTAATTAATTAGTACCTAAAGGATTATTTGTTAGTCGTTTTTGGTACCTAGAATTTCATATTTTATCAATTTTTATGCCCTAATTTTTATCGAATAATAACATCTAAAATTTCAATCATCAAGATCAAGAATTATTTTCTTAGAAATACAATTTTTTGTGAAAATTCAACGTTTATAACCTTTGGTCATTAGTTAACTATAAAAGTACCAATACATTGCAAAACTTATAATAGTAAAATGGATTAAATTGAAATCATGAGCACCAAAAACGGAAATTGAAATCATGTGCAACACCGGAATATTTTCGAAGCTCCTAAGATGCCGAGCTGGATCTGTAGAGCCATCGTATGACATGGTAAGTTCTTGAAACCCTTAAGGTAGGTCTGCGCCCAATACTTTGTCTGCAAACATGTGACCCGCACGGCAGAGGCCCCGACGTCCTTTGACCTTCTCCTGGAGCTTGCGCAACTATTCCGCCATGCGCTCTATGATCGGATCTCTTGCAGGTTGTGATGGGACTCATGACGAGTGGACCGATAGTTCTGGCTCATGTTCATATCTGCCTATGACAAGTTGTCTTGCTGGTCGAACTACTCCCTCGCGCACCGAGCCTTCGGGTCGAGCTATCACTTCGCGCCCCTCGGGTCGAGCCTCTAACCCCTGCGCCTCGGGTCGAGCAGTCGTCGCCCTGCCTGGAGGCAAGAACGAAGTCATTCTAGCCTCTACCGCTGCTGCTACCATCCTCTCCAACGCGTTGGGCGTAATTTGTATGGTCTGCTCCGGGATGAAAAGCTGGACATTTGCGTCGGTCCCCTTCGCCGTCTCTTCCTGGAGTTGCGGTTTGCCCCGCGGCGTGGTAAGCTCGTGTTCGGTCTTGTTGGTGTCTCTATTATACCCGCTCGCACCGGGCTATTCGTTGCTACTTCCGACAACTCCGTTGGCCGCCGGGTAATAAAAGTTGGGGTCACCGGCGTGTCTCCACACAATACCCACCCCGACGGAGGCGCCGCCCCTATAGGACGCTTGTGTAACCATGAGTTGTCTTCCTCCGCTTGCTCACGCTCTCCTTCCTCCACCATATTCTTCAATCCGCACTCCTCCACTTGCTTTCCGGTTGTTACGTATGGGATACCACCAAATCAACGCTAGTTGAGCTAGCCAGGATTCCCACAGACGGCGCCAATTTAATATGGTCTAAGATAAATGGCTCCGGTCCTTCAAAGGGTCGTCTCTGATTTTAATCGTGGATTAGCTGTTTCGGTCCGGTCCGAGCATATGAGTTTGACGGTACCTGCGAAAGCGCCGAAATTGTTCCGGCGCAAAACCCTCCTGATATAAGATATTATACTAAACCGGTTTTAATAGATAAAAAAGGAATATATTGGAGAATAAATGAATATATTGGAGAATAAACCTACACATGGGCTAGGACACGTGACATGATGGCATTGGACAAGCCCAACTTGGGTCATAAAGTACACTCCCCCTATAAAATGGGGCGAATGTATCTCATTCTCTCACACTCTCTACATTCATAATTATACTCTCGGGATTTGGAGTTTTGGAGTGATATTCACTTGAGCGTCGGAGGACCGACGCTGAGACCCCTTCCGACGTTTGGTTTCTGCAGGTAAGGAGGCCGTCCGAGTTGAAGGAGCTCGAGTGAAATCTATTTCATGAACATTGGCGCCGTCTGTGGGACTCGTTTCGAA